ATATATATATATATATACACACAGTATATATAAACAACAGGGAAAGAAGCAATACTTAACTGTTGGGTTAATGCATTATCCAGTTTGAATATTCTAGCATCAATGCTTCTTATAAAACTGAAATTAGAAAAATTCTAAAATTGGCTGACCAAGTCCATCATTTGACCCTTGTCCAGAAAAGTGTGTATGTGAAAGATTGAAGACAAGCAAAGCTTCAGCACAGAGCTGGCATGATTTACAGGTGTGGGCTGATTCATTTGTTTCATAAGTTGGCACTTTGTTAAAGAAAGTCATCCAATTGTCATCAACAGTCTAGTGCTTTTGAAGTCCAGCAGCGTACAGACTTGCACAAACTCAATGTTAGTCTTATTAAGTACATTTTAGTCTTTTACTCACAACCAAAAATAATGTTTTTACAGTTGAAATGTGATAAAAACGTCTTTGAAGTCAATGCTGCTCTGTGTTATTGTAGTGGCACAACCCAGTGTTTGTAAGAAAAGATGTTAAGAAGCTGGCTGAAAACACTACAAATACTTTTGTGACATATGGACAGCTTGTCAGCCCAATATTGCTAACTTGTGGAGACACTTAACTGAAAAATGAACTTTGAAAATGTTAGCTCACCCTTTTCTCACTGAGATTGACAGTTTTCTCTCAGTTCAGCTCATTTCACAGCACAGGTGTCAGCTGACCAGTAAATATTTGGGCAGATTTAAGGAGCGTGTCAGGTGGGGCACTCACTCACAAACAGGTTAAGTTGACTGACACTTGCTCAGTAGTTTGCTTCATGTTGATGACATCAAACCACACCTGGACCAGTCAGACAACCAGTTACTCCTGGCAGCAAACATTTAGCAGCTCTCCCCAGACAAACCCTAACAAAGGAACACACTCTTGTATGTTTTAGAAGTTACAGTACAAATGTATCTGTGAGACTCAAATGCAGGCGTTTCTCCATTAGGGCTGTATTTGCATTTTCCTACTTGTTATAAAAATAGCAGTAAAAACTGACTTTTTTTACTGCAGCAGGTGTTAAGAATTTGCTTGTAAACTGAGCTACACTTCTCTGCTAATTGCCTAATGGGCTAACAACTTACACTAAGGCAGAGGTGAAAGTGTGCTTTTCTCAGAGTCCCTGAAGTGCACAGAATTTGAAAAGTTTCACAGAGAAAAAGATACATTACAGGATTAGTTTCTCTTTCCAAAAGAAAGAAAACCCCAGAATCTTTACTTCCATATAATTAGACAGTGTTTTAATTATTATTTTTTAGATTTATTATTTTTCCTAAGCACTACAGTGAAGTTGAAAAGACACATTACATGGTCTCTCCTCAGCTTCGAACCGCCGCCCCCTCAACCCCATTCTCAAACTTGCATCTGTTTTCCTAGGTTTTGTTTCTTGTAAGCTGATAGCAGTCTGGTCCTGTGGAGCATGTGATGTGTGATTTCACCTTTTGTCTGCTGTGTAGTCTATACTTCATACTTGGAGGTCAAAGTCTTAGAGCTGCTTCCGCATCTCCCCTGGAATTTGTTAAACCATTTCTAACCAGGGGTTAAAAAAATTACAAAAAAATAAGTACATGTCACATTTTCCTTTCCATCTGGTCTTGTTGTTACAGCAGTTCTAGCTCTGACTTTGCCATGCAGAGGTTTGACAGGGACTCAGAGGTGTACAAGATGATCCAGGAGAATAGAGAGTCACGTACAGCGCCTCGCCAGTCCAACACCTTTAAAATGCTTCAAGAGTCTTTGGAGGCTGATGAGAGAGGTAAGAAACGTCTTGTTTTTTGTGCTCACACTTCTAATGCAAACTGTCAGCTAACAACCAAACAGCCATAAACACAGGATTCAAGTCACGTTTTCCCAGGGTCATTTTGGTCATCTAATTTCACCTTGATGTTTGAACAAATTAACACTAGTACTGTCTATTATATCTCCAGTTGTCAGACCTAAAGAAATAAGTGCTTTTTTCTAAGGTATTCTTATTCAGAGCAGATTACTGTGAAGGTTTGATGACAGTTTGACAGTCACTGATGAAGACAATAACAAACAACACTCATCTTACTTCATTTTGAAAAAGCTGTTTTTATTATATTGAGTTAATACATTAGTTAATAATCAGACATGGCCGAGAGAAGGTAAATAGGATAGCAACATCAGCAGCAGCATTAGTAATGGGAATGTATTTACATATATATAATAATTTTTCCAAATGTTACCAAATTCCTGTAAGTCAGCTCCTACAATTGCGTGCTGACTTCATCTTGAAGTCATCTGTCACACATGCATGGTGCATTACAAGAGGGGTGCAAGTTGTTGAAAAGTGACTTCCACATGGTCATCACCTGTGCTGAATGGAAAGAGCTGCTCTCCAGTGTGCAATTCGTTATCTTAGAAGCAAATCATGGAGTTTGTATAGCCTGCTCTCTTCCTTTGCTTTGATAAATGGCGGGTCAGATAAATCTAGATAGGAACAACATTCTTCCATGATGTGATAATGACCTGTGTGTGTACTTTAGAGGCGGCTGTGCGGTTTCCAGCAAAGTTTTCACCAAACGCCCCTAAACCAGGCACAACTGTGGGAGGAGTCGGCAAATATCACACCTGTGAGAAGTGTGGCTGCAACATTGTGTAAGTGCTGCTGGATCTTCACTCACCTGACCAAAAGAAGGAAGGTCCATTTATGATGTCTTTTGCACACAAACAAAGTTTATAGTAGTGAATTTAAAAGACAGCAGCGTTATTTCTTACTGTACAATTACACACATTAGACTTGCATACAGTCCATCATGATTCGTTGCACTTCAATGTCCTATTAGGGTTAATACTCAAACAGGGAATCCACCAATCTAAGGCCTGGTCAATATCTAGGCCACTGACAGTTATGTCCTCAACCCACATCTGTGAATTAAGCACTCAGCATTTAAAACTGTGCAGCAGCACTGCCATGTGTCTTGAGGTAGGAAGTGCAACTTATTTGCATTTACAAGAACTGTCATGGGCTGACCTGGGAACAAGGTTCTGCATTCTACATTTTTCTAGGTTTGGTGAAGGCATCATTAGTATTACAAGTCAGATTTGTAACAAGGCGTATCATGCTTGTCAATGTCAGTGTTTTTACTTCTCACCACGGCAGAAGTCACACCATAGCTACATTTGGTGTGTTTATAAAGAATACCTAGAAGGCTTCCTCCTATACTGTAACTTAACCAGAGACCAGAGCATGTGGCTCATGGATGATGAGTTTGTGATCTCTTATCTAGACCATAAATAATGTTTTTTTGTTAGTCAACTAACAGCTGTCTTACAAAGTAAAAGAAAATGCTTTTATATATCTGATCGGTATTGAATTTAATCTCTCTCGCTAAAGCACACAGGCCGTACGCATCACAGACGATCGCTTTCGTCATCCAGAGTGCTACACCTGCACAGACTGCGGCCTTAACCTCAGGATGAGAGGGCATTTTTGGGCAGGGGATGAGATGTACTGTGAGAAGCACGCCAAACAGAGGTACCAAGGTCCTGGTAGTTCTCCTCAAACAGCCATCTCCCCTCGTCACTGAGTCCACCGCTCCACTCCTGCTGCAGCTGCTGCTCTGCTTGAACATCCACCTCATCTGACCTGGTTCCAGACCCTGGGATGAAGTGTGGAGGTGGACGCTTGCCAATCACATGGCAGATATTATGGTTCACATTTTTGCCTTTTGTATAATGATATCAGAAGTTTTGGCTTTGTTCTTGATGAGGTGAAGCCTCTACATTCAGTTCAAGTTAATCCTGCTCTAATGTTTCACAGCTGTCATGAACAGACTGACATAACAACAGGTCTTTTGACAGACTTGGCAGGACTGCTTTTTCTTACTGAGGATCTGGATAATGGTTTTAATCCCCTGACGGAGCAAAGGGACCACAACTTTACCTCCACTGCATGCCTTATTAAAATGGCACTGCACTGTCGGTGCTCTCTGCAGTGTGGATGGGTGCAAGTTTTCACATGCAGAAGCATACTGGCTTTGGTGTGCTTTCACTGAATGTGTGTGTTTGACAGGGAGATGGGAAGATCCAGTTACACCAAAAGCCCTTTAGGTCTTCTGTATGTTTGTAAATGAAATTGATGAGAAAAAAAAATGAAAAGAAAAAAACATAAATGCTGTGGGGCTGTTTTGATCCTTACAAGGGAGATTTATTCATTCACTATCTCTTTTGTAATTGTATTCAATGATGTAAACCATTACAAAATATTTTCACAGGACATTTAGTGTGAAAAGATTTGATACTTCAGTTCAATTACAACAGTACTCGGCTATAATGTTCACATTCATTTGGCACTTAATAAAATCACACAATCCTCTCCACGGCTTGTGCTTGTATTTGAAATATGCTTTATAATATACATAATCTTAGCCCAAAATATGTCTGATGTAAAGTGGGTGATCATTACCTACGTAAGCTCTAACCATTCTTCTACTACTCTATCTTTTGTGAAGTGTTCAGACACAACAACCAAACTCTGACTAGAGATCGCACTCATGTACTCTTTGTAGAAATTTGAAAAGACCTGGCATTGTTCACAGCAGGTGTTGGAGAAAATACCAGATGATGACAAAAATGCTACATTATGTTACATCACGGACCGATTAAGAGTGCATGAGAAGACCAGCATACAAAGCAATCCTTGACATCTGTGGCAAATAAATGATACCCCAGGAAGAAAGAAAGAAAAAAAAAAATTTTAAACTGGGATTCAAATCGGTTATGTCAAAGTAATGTAGTTCAATTCGTCAACCAGAAGATGGCAGTCAGGATGTTTTAAATAAGGAGAAACTTAATCCCATTTAAAGCGTTAACCTTTTCTTCAAGCCAATACACATTTATTGGCCACTTCGGTAGGTACATCCTGTTAACAATAGTTTCGAATCACATTATACCTTCTAACCAGAATTATTTTGTGATACTGATCTGAAATATCTGGAATTACAATAATTTTGACATGGCTGTGTTTTATGACTATTTTTTTAACGTCCAAATTTGGTTAACCACTCTTTATTGTGTTTTTACCGGCGTGGGTTAGTTAAACCTGGATATTCTTTCAATGTTTTCAGTGTTTCAGTCCATGTTGTTAATTTGTTGCTATAGCTGGACCAAATAGACAAAATGTTATGCAGTTCAAAGATCCAAAGTTAGTGAGTTTCTCCTCTTGATGCCTCAACATGAGGACATCATCTAGAAGTAACAGGTAAGTGTATGGACTACACACAGAAATATGCTTTAATTAGATTAGTTTTAATCCAAACATTTGTTCTTGGCTGTCATGTCAAATCCTGTTTTGTAAATTCTAACCCTGTGGTTGATGCTCCTTTATGCTGATGGACAAACTTTTAAACATTCAACTACTGCTACTATAAGAACTTCACAGAAAATGAAATAATTAATACATATTTTAATTTAGACTTCTGGGTGTTTTATATATTTTCGAGAAAAAAAGTGAGAAGGTATTTCATGTAGTCCTAATTATCTTTTACAAGTGTGTTTTTACGCTTTACGACCTGTTTTACTTTCACAAGTAAAAATATTTACAGTATATCAACAAAGACGCACAGTGGTGGCCTGCGTACCGCTAGATGTCAGAATTTCCTTTTTTGCGAGACTCATTGGTCCTGACGTCTGTTCCCATGCTAGAACGTTCCTCCTAGTTTGACTTCTGTCACCATCTGAATCTGCTTCACATCTCTTTTCATCCTATTGAAAACCCTGCTGCTTTTAGATATTTCTGATGTAGCATTTGATGCCGTTGGACAACTGGACGTTGTCCAAGAGGAACCGTCAAAACCTGCCTTCTCACTTATTACTTGTCATCTCCCATTTCTTCAGAAAGATTTTACCCTCCGGGAGACTTCATGTAGACTACTTATCTGTACTTCCTGCATTTGCTGCCTCCAAGCCTCCCTACGTTCCACCTTTATATCTGCACCTCTCGCTCTCTTTTTTTCTCCCTCTCTTTCCCCTGGAATGGAGTCCAGATGTGGAGAAGGCAGGAGTAGAGATTTTGCTTGCTTGGCTATAAGGAGCAAGGGGGCTGCGGGGAGCATGCAGAGAAAATGTTGGAACGACATTAAAGTTTGTCTGGTTGCCATTAAGTACAATTTGATGTAATGTGCCGTTTGGAACGTGACATTTTAAATGGAAACTGCTCTCCAGATGAGGGAGATTTTGGGCCTGTGTGAGTCGGAGGGGGCTGTTGTACTCGAAACCCTATTTAACAGCTTGGATAAACAGCCCTCTGTTTTTAGCCGCTGAGCGGGCGCCCATACTCTTCCTCCAGTAATCACACTGGGTTTCTGAGCTCATTCCAGGGTACAGTATCATATACAGGAATAACAATCCCTGGGTCTGCTCTTTGGGTCGGAGCACACTACACCATTATTCTGTTCGCATGACTGGGGAGCCGGCACCTTGGATACCTGGGTGAACACACGTCAACCCCAATTGAATAAAGTCTCCTTTTATAAAAGCATTCCCCAGATTTACCTTCTCATACTTTTGAAATATTCTCCAGATTTGAATCACTGTGATCTCCATCCTCTCTGGGCCTCTCATATATCTTTTTTTTTTTTTTAACAGTAAGCCAATGTTCCATCTCAGGGAGTTTCTATACTGTAGGTAAGAAAAGATAAATATTATTCAATTTTAAAAAACCCAAGGCATTATCTTTGTGAGAGAATGAACATAGAGCTGATGTGTCAGTTCATATATGTGCTTTGGCTAACAGATGGTGCACAAAAAACTCCCAGAGGTCATCTTTTTTTTGCACCAAGGTATCTGATGACTATAAATAAGAAATAGAAGTAGTAACCTCAGACACCAAAGTGAAGCCACGACGTCCCTGACACATATTTGATGGGAAAAAAAACCTCTAAAAATGTTAAAGTTTATTTTGTAAAACTCACCAGCTCTAGCCACATGTTGGCTGCTTGCTAACCACACAGCTCTGAATGTTGTAGAGTTCAAGATTAGAGAGTAGCGAATAATCACACTGTGATCCTACAGTAAATCATACAATGTCTCTGCTCACTTTCTCTGTCTTTACTGTGTATTTTCTCAAGATCAAATTTTGTGCCACTGTCATAACTTTCTCTGTAGCAACAGTATCAAAGTAAGTGAAGTGAATCTATAAATGAACTTCCTCTGCTGAGTCACTGAAAAGTCTTTGATTTGCAGAAAAGTGGCCTTCAGGCTTCATTCATAATTTTCCCTCCTGATTGCAGACCAAATCAAACTCCCTCTGCCAATAACAACACAAGTGTAGCACAGAGCTTCATCATTATCATCACAGTTAATATATGTCAACAAGAAATAACATGTCAACTCTGCTCCTTTTCCATGTGATTTTGTTTTTATAATCCTCGTATTAACTGCCGGTCCATGTGCTGTGCATTGTGGTTACCATTCTGTCTACCTCTGCTGTTTCACATGTGCTGCTGTCTTCGGCCCTGCATTAGTTCATTCAGGCGTTTTGGTTGTACTTTTGCTGTAGTTGTTCAGAGTCATGTACAGCAACAAATGTCACAAATGAAAGTTGCAACATGTTATTTTATATTCATTTTTTTAGTAGCTATGAAATATACAATAATTTCAGCTAAGTACTAGAATTATGCTAATATGCAAATGCACACATGCTCACATGGTTCAAAAGTTAGTTTTTATTTTCCTTACTGAGACCTTTTAGAATGGAGAGATCACCAAACTAAAGGAGCCAATCAGAACACACAAAAAGTACATTTATTTAAAAAACAAAATTATTTATCTACTATTTAAGATAAAAACTGCATATGTCTCTATCAACGCATCCTCTAGGGTATCTTTAAATGTTTCAAATTTTAGATTTTTCCCAGTCCTTGACCTTCTCCTTGTTCTTGTCCATGGTGCCTAACAGGAAAATGCAGTTTTCCCAAATTTGGTTGAAACCCAGGAATCATTAGAAAGGAATCATCTGCAGGAGTGAAGCTGCTGCAGTAGCTGCCAGAGCTGACGCTCAAAATTGTGCAAGTTCTAGGTCAGAAGTTTATGGACGACCTCAGCACCTGTGACCTCCAGTTTCCCAGATCAAGTCACGCCTTTAGTTCTACTTAGTTTCCATGAAAGAGAAAGATTTTGTATTGTAACATTTCAACAATTTTTTAAATAAACAATTGACACACCTCCACTGTGATTTAAGCCACGGCACATATTTAACATCAGGAAAAACCCCACACCACACCACCAAACAAAAATCTCAAAAAGTATATGTAATTAAATGTAATAATCTTCTTGTATAAATCACTTCATAACTGACTAAAATCTCGTCCTATTTAGCTGAAGACAACACTAATATACTGGCAGGAATTGTAGAAAGACACTCACAAAGATCTTTTTCAACAGCAGTTTTCATAGCCATCTGCTGCCATATATATAAACAAACAAAAGAACACCAGTGAAAGATCTGTTTTGACTTCAGAAATCTGCTCAGACATTAAGGTAGAGGTCTTCAACAGGGGGTTGGCAGTCCCCTACAGAGTACATGAAGGTACTAAACACACACATTCATGCACACAGATACAGGATGTTCAGTACTCTTATTGTGGGGAAGCATGGTGATGCCTATCAGAACAGTCTGAAATGGATCGTTGATGTTGGAAGCAAATGAATGAGCCAGCCAGGCAGGCAGCTGTTGGGTCCTGTCACAATGAATTTGCACAAGCGCTGGAAGTTGTTATGCTCTCTGTTACCATGGCAATATAAAATATGTATGGAAAATATATGGTCTCTCTCACACACACACAGACACACACACACACACATATATATATAAATATTTATATTTATACACGTGGCGCTTTGGCCCAGAGGCAATGTCTCTGTCATTGGTGTGGAACCCCAGGGTTCACCTCCTGGGCAAGTTCGAATCCCGGTTAGGGCGGTTGGTACCTTCCAGTGGACTCACCACCCGCAGGAAGGTTTGGTACGGTGCAATGTGATTTGGGCGGCGACTGCTGCCCCCGCGACCCGGTAACGGATAAGCGGATGAAAATGGATGGATGGATGGATGGATGGATATATTTATACATGTTGAAGAAAAACACTGAAGACCCCTTCATTAGTCAGGACAAAGATTTTTTTTCTTTTGGATGTAAGTATTTTTGTCACCAAATGTATGTATAGTAGAAGTGCCTGCTAAAACATCAGTGCACATGATTCTCTATTGGAAAACAACATTCACATCATTTACAAAACAAACAAACAAACGAACAAATAAATAAAGAGGCTTCTTGATTAGTTCTGCCCGAGATAAGACACACGAACCCTCCTGAGTCACCCTCAAGATGATGTATGAGCGAGAGAGTTGAGCTAGGTTAAAGCTCAGGTCATATGTCAATCTCCTCCCCCTCCTCCTCCTCTGTGGCTGAGCTGCAGGATGCGCTAGGACCGCGGGGACCAGAGCGCAGACGCAGACGGAATGGGCGCACTCGGGGCAGTAACTCAGAGGGTTTGAGACAAGAGCGTGACAGAGGAGGTAAAAGCCACTGACTTTTAGGGAATCACACATTAGTCGCTCAGAGTCACTAGATAAAATCTATTTCTAATCAGATTTTTTGCTCCTCAGCTGTTTACGTTCACGTTGCGCTGGAGTGGAAGTCTTCTCAGAGCTCAAGGATCAGGGAAACTACAGGAAAGGTTTTGGAAGAAGCGCAACAACTGACAGAATATTGACACATTCTTTTTCCATCTTTATTCTGGATCTGACAGTGTGTGGATGCAGCTCTGACTTCTCTTTTCTGAAGCCATTCCAGGATTGGATTAACTTTTAGAGGAAGATAACGGTACAGTCGACAGTCGCCAAACATCCCAAAAAGTGATGTAAAATCTTTTTACGGTTTTATTAAAAACTCCCAAAACTTTTGTCCACAGAACACGCTGTTTGTCTGAAGTCGCTGAAGAAGTTTGAATGGACACACGAGTCAGTTTGATAGGTTAACATTTATTTTTTGGTTCCGATGGAACTGTGCGCTCGGGCTGCCATGACATAACGGGACACTCGGAAAAACCATGACCGGATGATGTGCGTTCTTCTCTGAGCAGTGTTTCGTTTAGTTGCGCGTTCTGTAGAAATCAGAAAGTGAAACAAATAATTTTTTTTTTAATGGTTTGTTTTTTGGCTTCCATTTGCGCCCCGCTGAAAAATTTGATGTTAGAGATATGGGATGACTGGCGGCGGGGGAGCAGCTGAGGTGAGATTCAGCCGAAGGACAATGATTGCGCCCGGCCTCGGCATCCCTCTGCTGCCGGGGCGTCTGGTACTGATGCTGCTCCTGTTGTCTGCCTCCGAGCCCCGGTTCTCTCAGGCCTGTCCCGGGCTGCTCGCCTCCCACAGCGGCTGCAGCTGCACGGACGACCGCTCCAAAGCGCACAGTGTACAGGCGGTGGGCAGGAGGGTCAGCTGCAGCAAGGAGGAGCTCACCGAGGCCCCGGATCCAAGTCTTCTGCCCAACAGAACAGTCTCTCTGTGAGTCCCGAACACTACACTCTCTGAATTATATATAACTGACACAAAACAATAACATCAAAGTTAAACAGGAGGTTTTGGGTCATGGTTGGACTTGGTACCAATCAGATAGGCCCGACTTGGTTAAATCAGATAGGCCTGCTATGATATTAAATTATATATATCAGCCTGTCCATGTGTTGGTGCTAGTTGAAAAATGAAAGTCATCTTCAATGGCACATTGATAAAAGATACAGATAATACAGTGCAAGATAGGAGATAAAACGTTTTTGGTTTTGGTTTAATACTTGAGCAGTTGCTTGAGCATTATGGGAAATTGTCACACAAAGCTTTACTAATTGCAATCTGCAGGCATAGATGTCCACCTCCACCACAGGACACAGAGACACGTGACAAGTGAATCGTATAATGCCATCAGAACTATTCACAGCTGTAAAGTCTGGGTATAAGACATAAAAAACATTTTTTTAATTCAGATTAATCACAAGTAGCTGTGAATTAATCTGAATTAATCTTGCTCATGATTAATCAACGGCCTTAAATATTACTTGCATCTTTACAGTGGCTTGAAGAACATGTTGTGAGTTTCTTCCTAACTTTGCTGAGCCTGTTGCCCTCATTAGTATGAATCAGTCTGCAGTCCTTCACATCAGTCATTTGACAATTGTGTCAGTCAGCTTGTCCACTGTAGACTTACTTTATGCCCAGTGCTGGATGACGCTGGTCTGATGAAACCCAGGCATCTGATTTGAAGCCTATACAAATGTATGCTTGGAGATGAGAGGTATTTTAAGCTTGAATCTTGATCTGCTTTGGTGAAATGACACTTTTCACAGTGTGCCCAAAATAAGTGTATGGACTGATTGAAGCAGAGCACCTTCGTACATGAGCTCCTTAAGGATATGTGTGTGAACTACAATTTCCAAACATTGAAGGATGGTCTGCAGTTCCTGCTCTTGTGCAGCATTCCTGAAAAAGCTTAGTCCGACAAACTGGACACAATGCATCCGTCTGTTTGCTTTACACTTTTAATGGACCAAAAGACGTCACTACAAATGCAACGCAACATGGAGCTGTTCTTTAAAAGGCATCAGTGAAGTAGGTCATTGTAAAAAGAGGCAGTCACTCACCTGGAACAGGCCAGTAAAAACAGCCTGTTCCAGCTGTGGTTCCAACCTGTTCTACTCCAGTTCAAAGTCTCAGTCTCAGAAATGCTTCTCTTACTCCTATGAAACGTGTCCCAGGTTGACATCTCCATGTGGGTCCACTATACCAGCACCACTGTGAAATACATGTTTCACAAAGTACCTGAGGAAAAACAGATAACTGTGTGTATCATCACTTACTAAATATCTGCCAGTACCTACTATATGTGAAACTTTTTGTCTTTTACAGTAACTGAGCCTAACATGCCAACCTGTGTCTTAATGAAGGAACCACTTTATCTTGCATAACCTGGGGAAGTATATTTTGAGCTCAACTGACTAATAGCCTACCTGGATAGGTTGTACCAGGGTAAAACGTTTTAAGACAGATTTTATAGCTTAAAAAGATCCATCCATCCATCCATCTTCAACCGCTTATCCGGGGCCGGGTCGCGGGGGCAACAGTCTGAGCAGGGACACCCAGACTTCCCTCTCCCTCGACACTTCCTCCAGCTCTTCTGGGGGGACCCCAAGGCGTTCCCAGGCCAGCCGAGCGACATAGTCGCTCCAGCGTGTCCTAGGTCTTCCCCTAGGTCTCTTCCCAGAG